CTTACAAATAAGAGTGTCTTACAGTATGTCAACCTTTCTACAAAATAAACTTTAATGTAACGTTGGAGCTTAAGCAATTTGAGTAGATTGTATATAATAGTTTGCCAAACTATCAAATAAGTGAAAAAACACTTCACTCTTATCAGAATGCCTATCAAATAAGTGAGAAAGCATGTTACATTCTTAACCAAAACTTGTCAAGTTCAGCTATATCCCACAAATTGTTTGCCAAACTAACAGCAAACTATAAGCCTCTATCAAAAGTAATGTTAGTGAATTCAATGAGGCTGATTTAAAAGAATATGAGCATAAAATTTTAATGTAAAATTAATCTAAATCAGGTGACACTTTAGCAGATCATCATTAAAAACCTCATATTTAATACACGTGGGCTATTAATTCAGATATTCTTTTCTATGAAATGACTGAACAAGTAAAATGACTGGGCCTTTCATTCTTTATTTTGAGAAAAACTGCAGATGCCATCAATTATACACATTAACAAACTAGGAATTCTGAATCTGTGCAATGTTTGTAAATTTATAATACATAGGGAAATACATCTATAATTTCAAGATAACTTATAACAGTTTTCTAATTCTTTATAACAAACAAATTAATATTAAATATCAATAGTCAGCTTCAGTCTAATTCAGTCAGAAAAAGCTGTATGGAGAAATTCAATTCTCAAGTTTTGTACATGCAACTTATTAACTGAGGTATTGGAAGAAAGTGACAATTCATGCAACAGAAATGTAGTGAGCTATCCTGTATCTTGGTAAACCTGTATCTGCATGGAGGGTCTCCCTTAGGTCAATAATTATTAGGAGGGCATATTCTTTGTATGTTCGGTTAATAGTTCTCAGAGAAAATTATACTGTAAAAACCTGGCTGCCATGAAAAACTATTGGCAGTTAGACAAAACAGATCTAGACAAATTTATTGCCAGAATCTGCACAAGGAAGATTAGAATGTTCCTTAGTGGTCTTTAAACTCTTGTTAGCATTTCTTCTTACCTTAACTTTCACTAGTCTTTTCACTGTCTTAATTTTTGCCTCACAGAAAGCACCCCGATATTTGGCACTGACATCAGTCCCCACTGTTAGGTAGGCAGGCTCATCTGCTGCCTGAAGAAAAAGTAGAAAAATCAATAAAGACAAAGCTGAACTGACAGAAGAGTTTAGATATGCTTCTCAGATTTCAGGACTGTTACTCCAGTTTTGTCATATGTAACAGAGCACATCAAAAGGCCTACATTTTCTTTTTAAAAACATAAGTTTATACCTCCCAAACAAAGCACACAGTACTAACTAACTATGTCATAATTTGTAATAATGTTAAAGATGCTCATATAGTAGCTCATACAAAAGGAAGTCCCACTTCTTAAGACTAAGTAAATTTGCACTGGACTACAGGCTAGATCCTACAGTCAGGATGGAAGTCATTAAAACATAATGTATAATGAATGAACGGCATACTGTTAAACAACATAGTAACATTTATACCACACTAACAAATGTTCTGCCAGAAATCTTAAATACTGAATACTATTTTCACTTTAGGAAAATCTATACACCTGTCTTCAACTGTATATGTTGAATGATATCAACTCCACACCTGTATCAGTCAAAATAGACAAGTAACATCAGAAAAAACAACAAAGAATTTGTCAATTATGAGCATAAACAGAGTTTTACTTCTCTCTCCAACCCAACAGGAAAAGTATACTTTCAACATACTGTAGAAATTATTTTTCTACTTCTATAACCAAATAATCTATAGCAGATTGGCTTTGACATTGTTTGGCATTCTGGAAAGAACTGAAGACATGGCTTTGTAATTTTGCCTGTAGATCATGTAAATATGATGTGGAGCCTGCAAACTGACTGTAATCTTAGCGAAATTAACTGTGTTCTTTTGGTGACTACTCTTTTTTTTAAAAAAAGACTTTTCATTGTTTCAAATAGTTTTTGTTATTTGGTTATTTTTGTATTGTATCAATAAAAACACAATTTTAATATTGTAAGCTGCTCAGTCATGTAAGGCAGCTACACAAACTTAATACATGATAAAAAGTTAGGCCTGCTACTTATTTTATTACTAAATGTGTAATTTGTAAATACAGCAAAATTTGTACATTTCAAAGATGAATGCAGAAATACAGAAAAACCAGTGCAATGAACCAAAGTCCAACATGTTTCTGCATTCTTAAATTCTAATTGCTTTAGTCAAATGCAGACATTTCCTTTAATTATTTTTTATCTTACAAGGGGAATGAAGGCTTTGTCCTCCAGGTTTTAGGACCCATTTTCCCACGTACAACTTATCTACTAATTTCTGAGAATAAACTTCAGAGAAGACTCTGATGTCCAATATGAAAGAGTCTACTACCTGATTTTGCAAGTTTTGACAGCTCAGTGTTACCACAGTAACTCAGGATGTGTATGGAATACAATGACATCCTTTTCATGTTTTCGTTTTAAATTAAGCAAAATATTACATCAAGTAGCAAATAAAGAGGAACGGGTAAGACAGGGAAAGCTTTCGCACATTCCAAAACAGACATGGAGATTTACCTTCATATTTGAAGGTTATTTGAGGGATTCCAGCTCAAAGCGTTTTGTGTACCACAGTTGAAGAAAATCTGGAAGCAAAGGGGAAAAGATTACTGTTATCAGATTCATCAACTTTAAAGAAAGATCAATGACCTCTGAATAAGAGAATCACCTATGAAAATCGTAGTCAGTCATTAAAAACACTGACTTTTGGTGCTATAAACAGCAATCTCTAAAAGTCTAGAATGTTCATGTCAGCATAGCTTGCATCTGAAAAATAAGAAAAAAGGGCTGTAAAGAATTACGTAGGTCTTTTTCAGTTGTTAGAAGAGGAATGGATGGTACTACATTCAGCCTTAAGTTTCCTCTTGCTCATCGCCACTTCCTTTGTATCAATCATCACTGTTGCTCCCTCTTTCTTTGCAACCTGTTAGGAAAATAAAGGAACTCCATATACATGCAAAATATAAATAATACAGGAGAGATTTCTCAGGTAATAGGTGAAAAATTACACCTATTGCACCTGTCATTGTCCATGTCTGAATCTGAAACCAAGATATTAGCTATGTAAATAAAGATTAAGGACACAGGCCAGTCTACTATACAGGTAGACTTTCAAACTATTTCTAACCATATTTAGTCAAAAGTATATATGGAGTGGGAGTTATTATCACGTTTACATGGGACTGCAGCAGTCTCTCAGTGCTGCCTTCTCTCAATGTGTGATAATAATTTAAGCCCTTTAAAAAGTCTCTCATTCCTTTCTGGTAGCAGCAGCCTCCCTCAAATGATTCAAGGCCTTTCCCTCCAGTTTCCCCATATGGTGTTGTCTAGTGGTCTGGGCTCTTTCATATAAAACATAAATTTCACGTGCCATTTTCAAAAGGGTATCTCTCTTCCTCCATTACAGTACATTTGTTTTTACTTTATTCTGTTCTCACCACAGAAGGAAATGTTCCCCCATCCCACAAACCCCCGTCTCTTCCTCCAACCACAAAAACTCAGCATCCTGTACGACAGGATCCCAACCAACAACTCCTTCAGTTCACCCTCGAGGCCTCCCCTGCCCCCAAAACAACTCATGGAAGCCACCCGTCCCACTTGCTGACTGTAAATGGTGGGGTGGGAAGAGGGCCCGAGTGAAAGAGGAAGGAGTGGACGGAGGGCCAAGGAGGCGAGTAGAACGGAGACAGAAGAGGGAGGCTAATAGGACAGGCGAAGGTGGAGGGAACGGAACCTCCATAAGAAAGCCAAGGCAGCCCCCCCACCACCAAGCGAGGCCAGCCTGGGTATGTGGTCCGAGGAAGAGGCAGCGGAGAGAAGCAACATCCCACCCGGACCATCTTCTGAGTGAGGAAAGAGAAAGACCGGACTAGTTTATTCCCAAAAAGGGCAAAAAGCATAAATCACGCCCCCCCCCCACATTTCACCACCCCTCCCTCGCGGTTGACCCCCCCACCCCCCACCCGCCTCTCTCGTCCAACCTTCCAAGCCGAGGGAGAGGATTGCATCCCGACCTTCCTTTTCCTTTCCCCCCGAGTAACTGCGAGCCCGTCTCCTTGGCCGCCCCCGGACTGAGGACGGGTTCCCGGCCCGGCCCCCTCTCAACTCCACGGCTTCACTCCCGGTCCCCTCCCCTCCCCTCCCCCGCTTGCAAACCCCTCTCAAACTCACTGCTGAGTGCAGTCCACGGCGGCAGGTCCCCTCGCCCGGCGTAGAGCGCGGGCAGCCCGGCCGAAGACACCGTCCGACCCCCACCAGGAACAAGCCGCGACAGCAGCGGCCAAAGAGGAGGAGGAGGAGGAGGAGGAGGAGGAGGGCGACAACGACGACAGCGGCAGCGGCAGCAGCAATAGGGGCTGTCCCGCCTTGCTCCGCCTTCTCTTCTTCTCCGCCCCCTCGGCAGCCCGGGCTCGGCGGCTCCCACTCACTGACGGACCGAGTGTCACTCTTTTAGCCCAGCGCTGCTCTCACCACCCAAATAACAAGCTGTTGAGCAGTAGGGGCGCTGCGCGGCCTCTCATTGGCTCCTCCCCTCGCGCGCCCCCCTCCGCACGCTTGACGCTCGAGGGGGGCTTGCCCCTCCCTCATTGGGTGCTTCGCGTGCCTCCCGCCTTTCATTGGACTGCGGAAGAGCTTCTCTGAGAAGACGATTGGGCGAACGGGCAGGCTTTTTTTTTAAAGAGAGAGCGAAAGGGGAAGCGACTTCTTATTGGCTTAAATCGTAGAGCAGCCAAGCCTTGTTGGAAGCCCGGACTTTAAAAGGGAGTGAAGTTAAAGCTTCCACCGGTCCCTCCCTCTATCCTTTGCATCTGATTGGAAATAAGCGAGTTTTTTTTTTTTAAAGCATCCGGATGGGAAGCCCCGGACGCCTGGATTGGTGGAAGCCCGGCGGGGCCGGAAGCTGCGATAAAAATAGGGGGGTGGGGGGATGGAATTTGATTGGCTTGTTGGTTTTTCGTGAAAACGGAAAGGGGAGGGATGAAACTAGGGTACAGCGGTGACGAACGAAGGCACCGCACTCCCGATGCGCATGCGTTTTTGGCCCTGGGGGGTTTATTTTCCTTTACCGTCCTCTTCGCCGGCGCCATTTTATGCGCCGCTCAGTCACGTCTTAAACCTGAGGGGAAGGGAGGGGGCCGGAAAAAGAAGGCAAGACTGCTGCGTGGAAGCTGCCTAGCTCTGCGGCCACGAAGCCTCTTTGAGAGTCGGCACGGTGAGCTTCGGTAAGGGAGGCCCTGGGAATTTCGCTTTTAGGCGGAAAACAGCCGACTTCCGCGATGGCAGCAACGAGGGAGGAGGCAAAGATTGTGACGACCGTTACAGAGGAAACTGGTTCGTAGGCCACGGACAGTATTACGTGGGGAGGGGGGGAGGGGGCGGAGCACCCAAGTGGAAGCGGAGTATGACGTCCGGATTGGCGCAAGCGCCGTTGGGAGGTAGGCGGAGTTTGTGCTGCTCCCTTCGGTGGGAAGTTATCCCGCGAGTGACTTTTGAAGGAGGCCGACTTTGGTGGGATCCTGGCTGGTCCTTCGGGCTCGAAGAAGACCCTCTCCTGTGCAGTTCATCGGACTCTGCGGTCCGAATCTGGAACTGCGGAGTCTACCACGGTGGAGGCACTGAAAGTCCACTGTAGTAACTGGGTGTTTATTCTCAGGTTTTCTATCGCTTTTGGGCTGGGGGAGGGGTGTCTTTCCACAGCTGGTGAGGGCTTTATGGCGTAACGCTGGAATATTAGCAGTTGCAATTAATATTTGATGTATTTATCTAAGCTTTGGTGATGGAACCTTGATTCATCGGATGTATTCCAGCCAGTCATTGACTTTTGACTGTTAAGTGAGCCCAGAATTAGTTATTAAATTGTTACAGTGATAAATTGAGGCACGCACGGAAGTAATACCGTGGTCATTAGAGACACCCACTCGTTTGAATGGGGTTTTTTTTGGGGGGGGACTCAAAAAAAACAGGCAAAAAACTCATAACGAATTATGGACACAATACTGAGGAATGCGGTGAGAAGTCATAAAACTGACCCACCTGAAATAGTGTCATGTAACTGCACAGGGGCCCAACATTTTACAAAAGCCAGAAGTGCAGTTATCAGCCATAAAGTGCCCATTCTGGTAATTTTAAATTATTGTAAAATGATTTGTTAAGTGAGGACTATTCGTAAGTCAATGTGATTCTGCTTCATTCATTCATTGCAGTCACATCTGCTTATTATCTAAAAATATTGAAAATCATTATAAATTCAAATAAAATCAGTGATGAGGAAGCCTTTTCCAAAGTAAAGCAGCCATGCCAGTTAGAGAGAGTACACAGAATACAGAAATGCTGGCTATCATCCCAGTAGCCCCATAGTAAAGCAACAGAGCCTGTAGAAATTGCGGACCAAAATCTATATAGTAAAGTGCAATAGATTGTCTGATCCTGCTCTTTATGTCTGTTTTCTGCCTCATGAAATTGCAGCTACTAGTTGAAACTACAGAATCTGGGCAGAAAATGCAGAACTCATCATACAGCATTTAACTGGGCCCATAATACTTGGGTGGCTGTTGTTGCTAACACTTGCTAATCATACTATTCCTTTCCATAGGTCAATTGCACAGCAACATCCTATTTATCAGTTATATCACGGGTGTCAAACTTGCGGCATCACGTTGCCATCACGTGATGTTTTTCAATGTTTTATTCGCGGAACTGGGGTGGGCATGGCCTGTGTGTGATGCATCTGGCCCATGGCCGCTAATTTGACACCCCTGAATTATATTAACCTTTTAATTGTTGACAGAATCGCAAGGAAGACTCTTTCTTGGTGTGATGTTCCCAATAGGAGATATCAAAGAATCAGCAAAAGAAATACCATAATACTAACAAAGTGGCAAAGAATTGATGAGGGACAGGCCAGAAGGAAAAAGACACTTGCCCTACCCAAGAAATTCAAATATAAACCTTGATCATGCCTGCATGATACAATCATAGCCAATTACCAACTATTCTTCCCTGTACAGTGCTGCAAATGTTTTAAGCCCACAGCCACAAAAGGATTATCCATCCATGGATAGAACAATAATTAGATTCTGGGATATTTCACTATGAAATCCTGAAATTTGTGATATTTTTCCTTTAAATTCATACTAAATAACAGTATTTATCCACCCAATTTGATAGCAGAGATGTCCTATTATTGGAGGTGCTGGATTAATGTTCTATTTTAGTCTTTCCATAGTTATTTACCTTATATAAAATACTGTGTTGTAAATAAATACGCTGATTTGGTGAGAAAAAAAGTAGGGCATAATACATTGTTTTACAGCTCTTTGACACTTAGCATCCAATTTCAGAAACAAATTCTTAAGTATATTTTTGAAGTATTGTTAAACTATTTGCTTCCAAAGACTTCAACCAGTGATACATTACAAAGGATTGTTTATGACTGAGATGTCTTATTGGATGTCTTTCCCTTTTAAATATGCCAAATATTTTTGGAATCATGGTAATTGTAACTGTGATGAAACACTTAATTGTATTGCTTGATGCATTTCATCTACTTATAAGCTCTAAAATAAGTACTTTAAAATCGTAATAGCAGTAATTCTGGGTTGTACCCTTACAGCCTAGGATATGTATGAAAATGTTTATGATAAATCTTTCAAATCTTTGACTATGAATACATTCATATTGTGGAAGTGGCTAATAAAATTTTTGATCTTGTTCCTGCAAGCAGTTAGACTAGAGCTTTACTCTTACTAGTTCTCAGTTGGGAGCAATAGGGCAAAGAAAATGAATAAAATTAGTCACGGGCCACGGGGATGCTTGCAATCCTTATTACCCAGTCCTGTTCTGCTCATCCTGTCTTCAGTAAATCACGGTTTCCTCATCTACCTGCATGTTAGGCAGATTATGGACAGCAAACACTTTGATCTGTAACTCTTTACATATTTCACACAGTACCATCCTAAGTATTATCCTTTCAATATGTCTGGATAATAGTAAAGACAAGGTGCCTGCTAAATTTCTAGTAAGTCAAAACTATTTATCAAGAATTCATGATCTCAAAACCAATAGAAGAACCCAGGGAAAGTCAATGCATGCTGTTGGCTTTCATTTTTTTCCTGTGTTGTCTTTATATAACTCATTAATGGCATCTCATGGCCATTTTAATAGCATATGTACTCATAACTTTTTTTTTCTGATGACCAATCTTTGAATTTGCCTGATTGATGCACTGCTCTCAAAGTACATGAGTATAACTTGCCCATTCACCATTGGGTTCTGATTGTTATTTGTAATATTTGTAATAAGAAATTGAAGCTTTTTTGACATGTTTAAGTTTGTAGCCTTACACTTTCCTTAAACAGAAACATGTCTGTGATTCATATTCAATCTGAAGAATAAGGCAATATATTTCAAGGCTTGAAGCAAAATAGGCATTCTAAATTCTAAGCTGTTTTATGAGGTCACAAATGAGAAATTTCTGCTAGAAGTATGTAAATATGGAGAGATACAGCCTTCAAGACTGATGAACAAGCAAAGGAGAATATTGATTGGCTATTATTGTGGGATTATAAGAGATAAAAATTGCAATATTGGTGCTGTATGAACATGCTGTTGTATTTTTGTTTTGGCTTACACAATTTGTGTAGTTTTTCCAAAGCCAAATACAAGTCATTTGCACAAGTATGTAAACTTAATTTACAGCTACTAATAATATGGCAACATAGAGATGCTACTCAGACTGAGAATAGGAAGACTATAGTATCTGGCTTTGTCAAAAAGGGTTTGTTTGTTTTTTGTTTGCAACTCTAACCCCTGGGTGACAATCTACAATGGCAAACAAGTGAGACAGTGTGGCCTGCATAGAAATTAAGTGCAAAATACATACTTTATTTTAAGGTAGGACACGTGCCTTTGAATAATTATTTATTGAAACAATAATTTAACTGCCCAACCTCATGCTTTGAATATTTGAGTATGATGTTTGGGCAGTTAAAAAATAATTTCTATACAAAACCAGGCAATTTGGACTACAATTCATGGCAAGTAGAGAAGACAGTAATATATATGGGTTCACTAAAGAGATTTAAATTAATGATTTAAATTATTTAAACAGGATTTAAATTATTTAATTGGCCCGTATTATTAACGTTTTGGCAAAAGCTGCCATATACATCACAGTACATGAACAGCCAGCAAATATATAATACAACTAAAATCTGTTTAGAAAAGTCCTGGAAACTTTTAAAAAGAGAATGTAAAAGTTTAATGTGCTATATAAATTCACTGGAAAAGTACTGAATAAAACATTTAAGGGTTTTTTTTTCTTCTGAACTTTTTCTCAAGCAGTGTTTTAACTGAAAGTTTAATGGAAGAAAATAGCACTATCCATTATCACTCTCCAAATTTGTAAACACTGTTTTCCCATCTCTTGTCATATTCCAATATGCCAGAATAGATGTCAACTAGAAAGTGATAACTGAAGGTATGCCTGATATGATTCTACTGGGGAAGCTATTTCTGTTCTGAAACTACAAACTGACAAACTTTAAAGAATAGTCAAAGCTTATATATTTCACATATTTCCTTTACATTCTCATTTAAATGTTATAAAAGTATAAAACTTTGGGGAAATATCTCATATTAGTCACATTCATTTAGTAACTAGTATAAGTACTTGAGGATTTTTTTAAAGTATCACACAGGTATCCTGTCTAGTATCTCTGACTGTATTATTCATCACAACAGGAAAAGCACCATTATATACATTATATATGAACTGAAATGCTACTTCCCATGTATCAGCATTGAGGATTGAAAGGACAGGTTCTCCTCCAGAAAGTTAGAGACCCTTCCCAGACAATGATGGGTTAAGTAAGTTGGGCAAGGTGTGTGTGTGTGTGTAAAGATGGAACTTTTCATCTCCTGTTGTTTCCAAATTTGCCAACTGTCTATTTAACACTTGCCAAAACCACTGCCTAGAATAAATGCAAGCACAATCTGTAAGCAAATTAGATGCATAGCAAGCTGCATGTTTCCATGGATTCTAATCAAATATGTCAAATATCTTGTACTCACTGGATTAAACTTGATATCATATAAACACAATTCGCAATGCTTTGAAACACACTAGGAGATGTGCATGTGTAGGAATAAAATCTTGTTTGTAAAGGAATATTCAGATCTATCATATCTCATCACTTCTAGTTTTCCTTTAATAAATTCTTGGACCAATCACTCAAAAAGAACTCTAAACAGTAATTGGAAAATGGTTTAGTGCAAGTTGGTAATTAAAATATTGTCTAGCACATACATAATGGCAAATATATAAGCAGGCCTGTAGTACAGATTACAAAATGAATTCAAGTAAAAATGTTACATGTTTTCATCATCTGATTCATCCTCTTCTTTCAAAGATTCCTGTTAAGAAAATAAAATCAGATCTTAATTATCTACCTTATTAAAAAAAAACCAATAAGCAAAATAAAAATAAATATTTAGATTTTCAGATAATGAAATGCAAATTACTTATTTGATGTGGATATTTTGGATTAATGAAGTAGATACAAATTCAGGAGCAGCCTTTCACTATATTTTTTCTGGTGTAATTTTATACATTGTCTAATAATAGTCAACATTACATCAGAAATATACTTTTTTCTCCCATAAGATTGAAATAAGACATAATTTAATAAAAATGTCTTCCAGGTGATATCACTAATTTTTTGGTATATCTTTTCCAGGAGATAACCTTTGCATCATCATTACCATGTTTCATAAAGTTGCAAGGCTGATATTGTTTGAACATAGACACATTCAATTCTGATGTTACTTAATGCTTATTTAAGGTGGAGAAGTGTTCTGGACTCTGTTTTTTGATTGTTATAAATTGAGTCTTGGGATCTGAGCAGTATATATTTAAATCTTTTCATTATTAACTGCATTATTAATTTTGATTCCTAAACTATTTGAAAATATCTGGAATTGTATGAATTTAAAAGCCATTTTCACTTGCTTCCCAAAGTTACCTTAGCATATTTCTCTGCTGCTTCTTTAACATCTTTGGGCACAATTTCATGTTTTCCTTTAGTTACTGTGAATTAAAAAAGAAGAAGTTAAAACACAGTGTATAATTGGAGAATAAATTCAATTCAGCAATATTTTCTTTAAACATTGTGTCAGTTGTATACCTCAAACAATGATCTATCATAATGATTAATATAAAATATCTAAGTTTAGAGCAAGACTTTACTTCACATTATTTTAGAAAAAAAAATATTTAAATGTGATAATTACTTTCTCCAACCCAACTTAGTTCAAGTTCAAAGGCTTTATCTTTTACTTCATCATGGACTATGTAGATTCTAGAAGGAAAAATATTAGAGAATATAATTGTTACTTCAGGTAGAAGGTATTAAAATGTTTTACCCATATTTATGTTCAAAATATTCTCAGATTTTAAATAGTGTAAAAATTCATATTTTTTTCATATAAATCAAGAATAAAAAGCCGTGGACATGAATTTTTTGGCTCATTCCAATTTGATGTCTAAGAGCCTCTTATTTCATTTAAACTGTGTCTAATTTATTTAAACTGTAGGATCTCCTGCCCCATTATTAGAATAACAAAATATTCTCATTCAAGCACTTTCTTTGGGAATCAGATCAAGATAAAAGTACAGGTAGTCCTTGAATTACAACTATTCAAAATACGATATACCAACTGGGGGCTAGGTATGACTGGATTCCAAGTTGTGACAGTCTTCCCACTTTAGTCATATGACTGAACTTTGGTTGCTTGACTCCAGGCCACATTTACAGACATTTGCAGTGTCCTATGGTAATGTGATTGCATTTTACGACAGTTCTACCAAAATCCAACATTTACTTTATTTACTTTACTATAAATTTACTTTACTGACTTACAACCATGAGGGCAACTCCATTACATAAGTCAAGGACTACCTATAATTATTATTTTAGCCTAAAAACTGGAATGAAAGAGTCACTTGAAAAAAACTTACATTTTTGCAACTTCTTTAACAGCATCACGGCACGTCATTTCTTTCATCTGTAAATGTATTATTAGCATTTTACTAATTGTT